TAGTAAAAGCAAGCAAAATTTGCTAGATTGATGATATATTTTTATTTTGAATTTGTTTTGAAAAAAATTATGTTATTGAGCAGTGCTTTAACAAGAATAAATCTTTATAGATGTTTCTTGCAGATGGGAAATAACAATAATAATTAATAAAAATAATAATAATTGCTCATCTAATTACATATTTCGAGTAATTTGGATGAAAAATAGATTGCATGAACATAAATTCAACAACATAATTAAACAAAATTCAACAATTTTCAACAAATAAGTCTTTAAAAAAAGTTTTCCTTTCCTAAAAGTAAATTTCATTCCATAACTGATGGAAACAAAATTTAATTTTTATAATTAAATCAAACAACTGTGAAATGAACGATAAAATAATTTATCATTTCTTCTACAGTAATTTAATTACAGTTTTTTTCTTCCTAAAAATAAGTTTTGTCAAAAAGCATAAAATTTGTAATTGAAAGAAATTCCACTACAACAGGTAGTATACGAAAAAAGAAATGTTGTAAGTTCATGCATATAAGAGTACTTTTAAAATAATTTTTATTGCGAAAATTTCCCCTAATCACTTTGATGATTTCATTATGCCTTCTCTTTTTTAAAAAAATTTTTTAGTGTTATTAGTTTGTCATTAATTATTAGCGATGTTTGACTTTTTGCGATAGGCGGGTGAATGATAAATGTGATATATACAGTTGGAGTATATAAAGTTCTTCATTCCCATGAACATTCATAAAACATTTCATGAATGTATAAAAGTAATTAATAAAAACAAGTATTCACTTTCTTGCCATTAAATTGAAAATAAGCAATTATTGAAATAATCTTTTTTTTTCTCGCTGATAGAATTGAAAGACAGCGTAAATTTATAGCAAAAAATTTTCAACAACACCAATAACGCTTGAATTGATTCCTTCAAAAATGTTATTCTAAATAAGAAAGTTATAAATTAAAAATGTTATTTGAAAAATAAAAGTTTGCAAAGAAACGAATGCAAATGAATAGAAAAGAAAGAAATTATATTTAAATTTGATATTAATGCCATTCAGTGAAATATCGATCTTTCTAAGAAATAACAAAAGCACAGGTGAAGAAATAATATGATTTAACAAATGATTTCGTAAAATTTTAAAAATTAGGTCTAGTAAATTATAAAATCTGACTATTACACAGTGATAATACAAAATAATGAGTAGAAAAACTTTCACACGATATTATCAGTGGACAACTGATGACATAGGCAACAATATTAATTGTCACAAGAGCACACCACAGGCAAGCAGGTGAGGAAAACAAGAATTTTGTTTATTCCTTCTCTCCAGCATTCTACCTACCCGATAGCGATACAGCCAGCAGCTTTCAACTCATTTGATTTCATTACATTTAATAACTTTTTGTATTCATGAAAAAGAATTTAATTTGATCACTTCGATTCACAAACTCAATTGATGTAATGCACCAACTGTTGAGCAATATCGGCCATATAGCATCCAGAAGACTGCTCTATGAAAACATATGTGTAGAACAAAAGAAGTTCTCGTCCAATTGCCTTCAAAAATTTCTGCATATTGCAATTTTAAATTCTTTTAAGTTAATCAGTTCATAACTGTTCCTTCCGTACTTCCTGCACAAATCCAAACAAAAGCTAACTGTAATTTCATAATTTAAACTTCCACAAAGAATTTCTCGAGTGTTCTGAATAAATTCCTTTAAAATTAATATGTTTAATTTACATATTTAATTTTAAATTCACTATTCAATAAACACTATCATATCCAGTAGAAATTTAACAGGAAATAATTGACATATCTGAAATTTCAATCCAATCATTCACGATAAAACGCGACAGGATGTCTAACTTTTTTTATTATACTCTAACATGTACATAACATTGTTTTGAGCAAAATCTTTTTTTTATACTTCGGAAATATTTTTATTCCAGACCATATATTTGTTTAGCATTTGCAGTGGTAATATTGGCTACTTTCATTGGATCTTCATTCATGTAAGCTGCGATAAGCTCACAAATGGCTGCTAAAGCACATGGCTCATTTCTGTTGAATGATGTAAATTTATGAAAACTTCTTGCTTCACCCGTAATACGACTACGAATTTCAGCTGGAATCTTTTTGTCATCAATTTTGGAATACATAAAAGGTGCATCGGTTTCCAAAACAACCCTTTCTAGTGGTATTTTGTAATTACGCAAGGCGTACTTTATACCATCATCGCTCCGATCTTTCCACAAATAACCTGTAACAAAAACCGGTTTTAAGACATATAAGCTAGGAACCCTGATAGATTTCCACGGCCATTTTAAAAGACATTTGACTTTATTATTTGAAATTCACCAATTACAATAACACAGGGGATATTTTATCAACAAAAGAAAATGAACTTGAAATGTGTACAGAAACTTATTTCCTGATTTCTGACAATATAGTAATTTCAAATGAATTGTGAATAGTACGTGCCTTTATTCCCAACTCTAACAAATCATCAACGATGCACTTATTTCAACAAGAGAGATAAAGCACGAAAGTTACATCCATTTCAATCTCGCATTGCTTTCCTGCTCTCTTCCTCCTTAACAAGCCTCTTCTGTTTCGCGTCAGCTATCGCGAATTGATGGAATAGTCTTTTTTAGTTATTTTTTAACAATGATAAATGCTAACCAGTTAATCCAATATAGCAGCCCATCTTGACATACGTTTCAGCTTCTGAGGCTTTACCCGTGAAGCAATGTATAACCACTGGAGGTAAGTGCTCCTTATACCTGAGAAATATTTTTTTTTAATATAATTACAGTCTCTTGCCCCTATATTCTACAGAAAGTTGTGGAAATGGAAATTACATGTCTTTTAGAGCACTGATTATCAACGATGTCATTCATGAAATCACCTGGTTAGAGTAGCAATCATGTCCTGATGTGCATCCCTTTCGTGAATAAATAATGGTTTCTTCAAATCACAAGCTAATCGAAGCTGTAATGAGCAAGTACTGCGAAAAAAAAGCAAGTACTGTGGAGGAAAAGAATTTCGTTGCAATAAACTACTGCATTGAAATTCTGATCTCACTTCCGACCTGCGCTTGCAAAAAAGAGAAGCCAATTAACTCGAAATCGTTTAATACTGATTTTTAAATTTCTGATTTTTAAGTTTAATAGCTAAAGATAGTTTAATACAAATTTAATGACGTTATGATCAGCAGGAAATGGAGATTAAAACGAAAGTTGGTATGTTGGAGTTTCTTCCTTAATACATGATGTTATCTCTGCGAAACATATATTGAAATGCCTTAAGGGGAATTTCGATTACTAAACCTTGTTAAACATTCCAAAACGGATTTTAAATTAACAAAGAGAGTGATACATATAGATATAGAGATATCATTTCTAAGCACCTGTTCTTCGAAGACCAACCTTTGCTGGTCTTGTTGTGAAAAATTTCGATTAAAATCGAGGCCACATTCACCTATTGCTACACAGCCTGGTTCATTGCATAGTTTATTTAGCTTACATATCGTATGATCATCAAATCCTTTGGCATCGTGAGGATGGACACCTTCAAGATCCGATGGTTATTGTGTCCAAAAGTATTCAACACAATAGCTATTAATAATTAAAGCTTCTAAAAGGGTAGTAATTCAAAGTTCAATCTAACACAGTTTAAGAGAAATACAGCTATTTGTGATCTAACAATATGATTTATCAAAATTTATTATTAAATTTATAGTTACAACAAATCATCAACCGCAATTGATGCAATATTCTATACTGCAAAAACTAAAACCTCCTCATACCTGCTGTAAAGAAGAGAAAATTTGGGAATTGCTCCGCCAATTCTTGGGCTTCCTCGCTCACTTTTATCGATGTTCCCGTAACCATTATTTTACACAAACCTGTAGTGAAACAAAAAATATATTATAAAAAATAAAACTTTGATGCATATACAGTGTGAAATTTAATTAAACATACAAAGAGTGCAACTTATTTTTGTTATTTCGAATTTTTATTGTTGATTTGCGTAAACCTACACTTAATTCTGCTATTAAGAAAAACCGTAACCTATACTTATTTCTGTTATTAAGAATTTCATAAATAATTATAAAACTATATCACATGTCTATGATATTCTTCAGATCCACCGATAAACGAGTTACATTAAATAACTGGTCGCTTCCGAACAATATAATAATAGAACATTCTAACCCTCGGAGCATAATTATACTCATCTGTCTTTATTTGAATCGATTCCCTAAAAGTAAATTAATAGATTTAAATCGTTTTCTTAGAAATAAATTAATAAATGACCTGCTTGTTTAGCTCTTTCAATAACCTCATTTAAATCATTTCGGAAACTAGGATGCACCAAATTAGCACCAATGTCGATCAAGTTGTAACGAAGTTTATTAGCCATATCGACAACCACCTCATACGAATTACCTGAAATATTAAAGAAGAAAAGATAGCAAGCTGTGAATGCATCTTTCGCAATTATTTTACGCCTGATCACGATAATGCAACTACAACTATCTTTCAAGATTGATTTTAGTTGCAATATTGAAGCATTAGAAACCCATGTGTGTACATTTTAAATTTAAACTTATTAACTTCATTAAAAATATTCATCCCATCATTTTCTATAGTATATAAACAAATAACTGGAATGAAAATTAAATTTGATAATCTATAACATCCTCCTCGTCCCTTCTATTACTCTTCATCATTGTTATCTCTAGTTTATTTCCTCAGATCTTTATCACTATATTGTTTCCTCCAATGTCACTATTTCACGTTATTCATCACGTCTCTATTCTACAATTCCAACTTACAATCTGCTCGATTTCTTATCTTAGATTATAAGTTTCGTAATCTCGTTCTCTGTCCTCATCAATCTCTAATATCCCCCTACAAACACTGAATATTATTCCAACACCTTTCACGATGACATCAGCACCCACCAAACTATCCCTTTCCAATGAATATAATTCACTCATTTTTATTGGACTGTGATAATTCCGTTGCAACAAATGAAGCAATAGTAAAGCGGATGTTTAAAATTGGAGAATTTGTGCACTACTTGTTGGGATAGATACCTTCCACATGTTAGATTTTATCCGATTGTATTGATTCATATACGTTGTCGTGTGTGTTACATAATACGTTCTTATTGTCTTATTGGTTGTGTTTTATTTCAAGAGAGTTTCAGCAAAAGTAAGTATATCAGTTTACTTTTTTTATCTTTCAGGTATTGATAAGACCAACGTAGAGAAGAGGGTAATGGAATCAAATTCGGCAAGTAATGATATACGTAAAATGATAGATACACTTGTGGCCGGATACCTTGGCAGACAAAAAGTAATATTTTTGTCTTTTGGCAGACAAAAACTAAAGTAATCAAAAAATAATCTGTAATTCATATTAATAGTTTAATATCATGAAAAGCAAGAAATGTGATTGGCGATCTTCATTGTTTTTTGATCGTTTTTGTTTCCGTTGGCAGACGTCACAGATTTACTTACTTTGATCATTTCCATATATTGATGTAATTTCTCTGATCATTTCTATTAACTTCAGTCTTACACATCTTTTACACATCTTGCGTCTTACATATCAATTTTAATTCTTTTATCATGGAATTAATTTATCTTAATTGATCGAAATGTAAAGCGCAAATGACGAATATATTCCTGAAGAATGATACTTCGCTTCATTGAGTCTTCTGAAACATATGAAGAATCGGTGAAGCAAGGATGTCATCAAGAAGAATGCATTTTTTTAAATATTATTTCTGATTTTAACACACTAAATGACATCACAAGTGTATTTTAGTATTGGGAATCGTTGAAATGTTTAATGAATGAATCGTCGATTCTGCATGCTGCACAATGTGGAGGGATGTCGATTGTTTTAAGTGATACTGTGCACGGAAAACATCTGGAAGAAATCATCATTGTATGTCTCTTCAGTAATTTATTTAATTATGCAAAAGTATATCTAGAAGAAATTGCTGATTATTAATTCCCTTATTCCATTTCCTCTGTGTCCTCATTTCAAATCTTTTTTATCACTTAATGGTTTAATCAGTTGTTGACATTCTCTTACAGAAGTAGCAGTTGTTAGTGGAAATCGAATAAGTGACATTTGTTCGTTGCGGTCCTTTTTTTCTGAACTGATGAAATTGTTTGATCTATGCTTTTTTTAGTTATTCAGTGAATATGGTAATTTTGGTCTAAATCCTGGCTTGCTTGACTTTGGAGTCAGGCTACGTTCGCTTGCAAACGAATTTACGTCACTGACAAATGTCGGTGCGCATTGCTCTGATGCACAGAAATTGCTTTATGGCAAACATTCAACACCGTCGTTGGTTCTTATTCTCCGATTAATTTATAAATTTTCAGTTTCATTATCATAAATGATGTGATAGTTATTTGGCATAGAATAAGATAGTCTAAGGATGAAATTAGAGGAGTAGACTAGAGGATGAGTTTCTTCTCTGCAATGTTTTAGTTGAGTTACTCTGATTTCAGGCGGAATTATTCACAGCAATGTTTATCAGTAATGACGAGAGAGCTGAATGTTTGTGAAACAAATCAGAATATGTTGCCTGCCGCTAATGCCGATTCGACAACAAGTATTTCCAGTCAACATAGTAATGGATCTACTTCTATGAGAAGGTATAGAAATTCTGTATATAATTCTCGATAAGACATTGTTGAAGCATTATGATGAATGGATAGTGAAGGAAATCAGGAAATATTTTGCAGTTTTATTTTGTTATAAAAGTATATGTTGTAATATGAGCGAAGTACGATATCAATCGTTCAGTTCCCTGTTACTTTCCAGTGCTATTTTCCTCAACCAGCACATCACTATTCTTATACTAGTAATAGCATGAGAATGCAGGATGACTGCATGCAGGATATGATCAGGCACTGATCTCCTGAAAGGTACTCACAATGTCACTCTTCTTCCATTTAGTGCTGAAACTATCGGTGATGCCATTTATTGTTTTAACCTAATTTTAATTTCCAATAGTTTAATTTTTACATAGAAGATTTACGTGTTATGAGTTGTTTGTAGGAAATGTGCCCAACCAGTGAGCATAAATACCAGACGACGGGAATTCATGAAAGAAGTAGTTGAGCCAGTTGTGCATACAGCCCAGCAAATTATTGACAATGGCAGTGGCAATATCACCGACCCCAATTCATCGCTTTCCGCGGTTCGCTACATTGTCATCGTTTCAACTTCAAAAATTAACTAAATATAAAAAAAAACGTAAATTAGTTTTTCAAATTTATTTTGTACATATTTCAACAAAAATTGGATCACTTCAATTTTTATGTTAGTTATCAATGATTACAATTGATGAAAATGCTGTTGGCACGTTGGATCGATGTATGGCACATGAAAATTTCGCTGAACTTATCGAAAGCATTGAACGAGATTTTCCGGACGGATTTTTCGATTCTTTTCCGAATTCGGATAATACGGAGAGCTTTAATGAAGCAGTTTTTGATGTCGTATCATCGCAGTCCAACGAAACTCAACAGGTTGCGATGTTCAGTAAAAATCTACAGTTGTAAGGCAGTCTTCATGGTTTATCTGTTCGTTCGTTTTAATCGTTAAGGAAGGAAAAAGTGACTTTTCTGATTGGCTCTGTTTCCGAAATACTATGCTTGAATGGTGTTGTCAATTCAATATCTTAGTATGCAATATAGTCTAAAGTGGATAATTTTACTGATTTAATTATTACATAATATTATTATCCTTTGGTTGAAAACAATAATGCAGTAAAGCTTAGACATGGGTTTTCGTTAAGATTGTTGTTCAGTGTTTGTTGTTCTTGACTAGTTTTTCGGAAATATTTTCTTTTAGGAACAGCCAAGACACAATGATAGCCAAAATCTGTATAACATTCCGCATTCAGTGGTAGTTGAAGAGTCAAAACCATTGTACTTTTCCACACCGACCAAGTTCAAAATTCAGGAAAAGTCTTTCTCAATGCCAGGAACCTCCGTGAGTTATTAGAAAAGTATTTACACTTTCTTCACCTTTTCTTCGCTATCCTTTTTTAATTTACAGTTACTTGATTTAGAATTTGAAAGCATCATCAACTTCGAAAAATGAATCTCATTGTCTGCGATCGAAAGTTATGCGAAAGAAGCCGGTAAAAATGTTTTATATGTTTTCTGAAGTAAACATAATCGTTGAAAATACTTCATGTTTTAAAACATAAATTTAAAACTCAACATACTTTCTGAAACAAAAGATCATAGCTCAACATCGCCAAATCCGAAGTATTACTACTGTTTTTTTATACAATTGATTACATATTTTCTAAACAACACCGTTTTCATTCTTTTTATACAAATTTGACAGATTGTAGGTGGTTGCTGAAAGCGCGATATTCAAAGATCGGATCGAAATAGAGTGTCCGTATCTACCGCTTGAGGAAACTAAAAAAAAAGTTGATAGTTCTGGGCGAGATTTATTTTTTTCTCCAACAAATGTCACGAAATCCTATGACGATTCTTTTGGCAAAGCAAAAGTGGACCGTTTAGAAATATCTGCAGGCTGGAGGAAACTTGCCGAATTGTGTGATGAGTCAAATAGAAAAGTTGCAGAAAGTGAGGAATGGAAGGCAGCGCAGAAAAGCAACAGTGCAGAAACGTGTCAGCCGACAAACAAAAAGATAAAAGATAAAGAAACTAAATATCCATCATCATCTTCTACTGATTTAGAAACGAGGAAGAAAGTTCGGAATGAACTCTGTTTACCCTTACCTGTTAATAATAATATTGATGTTGCCGATCAACAGGTAGAAAAAAGTGTGAGTGATAAAGGAAATGTCAACACAAAATTCACTTCGAAATCATCCATCGAACGAGAAATCGAGCTACTATTTGAAAGTTCAGACGACCGAAATTGCGGAGAAACTCAAAAGGCTGATGAATGGAAAAGCTCAGATTCTACCCGTGCTGCATCAACAAGGGAAAACAGAAAAGGATCGGAAGATAGGGATGAGATTTCCAGAGATAAAGGTTCAACTGTTGGATACTGTCAATCTCAGACTTCTGCAATATTTGTTACAAACAAAAAAAAAAGAAAATACCAGAAACAGAAGTCACTAGGTGGTGACTTTGCTTGTGATTCGAAAATTTTTGTTGCTAAGAAAAAGCAATTAGAAGAATTATGTGTTAGTTCACCAACACGAGATACTGACCAACAAGGTGATAGTTCTCTTGCTAGGAGTAGTCCTTTATGTAAATCTTCAGAACAATGCAAAAAACAGGAAAAATTTAAAAGGCTTGAAGAAGATCGAGAGGAAACACGAGCAAATGCAGAAAGGAGAAAAAAGGAGAAGGAGTTTTTGATGAAAAAGGAAAGAGAGGAAATCGAAAGGCAGAAACGTGAGGTAGAAGAAAAGGAGCAAAAAAGAGCAGCTGAAAGAGAGCGAAAAAGAAGGGAGGAGGAAGAGCGTGAAGCACGTGAGAAAGAACAACGTGAGAAGAAACGCAAAGAACGTGCGGATCGTGAGAAATTGAAGAGGATGAAAGAAAAGGAAGATAAGCTGATTAGCCGTTCCAACTTAAGAAAGCAACGAGAACAATGTAAGGATGGAAAATCAAAAAAAGAGCTAAGAAGCAATTTACATCTCGAATCTAAAAGTGATGAAGCGAATGAAGAAACAAGCATTTTAGATAGACTATTTGGAGATGATGATGGTTTGAAGCCTGTAACAAAGAATTTGGATAAAGGAGAGGCGAAAAGAATGTCTGAAGAAAATCGTGCGAAGTAACCCTTCTTCTGTTTCAACTTTCAGTAATGCTGAAATGCTGACAATTTTGGGTTAGAATTTGATAAATATTCAGTAAGTGTTAAATTTCCAATCGTATTGAGAGTTTCAGACCCTCATTCACTCGGAAAACTGTCGGGAAAATGAAGGTCGTAAAGGAACATTGTCGTGCAAAGAGAGGAAAATTAGAGCATGTTATTGATATTAAGGCAATAAAAAACGCAAAGGTACTTTTTCTTTCAATCTATGATATTTCGAACTGTGTCATCTTATTGACTGAGTTATTGGATTGATTGATGGCTAAGTATGGCTTTGAACAGGGAGGCTTAATCTTTATGAACAATGGAAGCAACTTTAACTAGTTTGAAGTAATTTTTCGTAACTTTCATCCAATAAGCGAGAAAATCATAGGAAATGAAAATATTCAAGAATGGACTGTAAAAGTATTAAATTGTTGAAACCTCTATCACTTAGTTCTTCTCTGATTCATTATGCTCTCATTCATCACAGTTTTATCCCTTTCTTCCAGGAAAGTGGTTCAAATCGACCGGATGCGTTAGATGACCTTTTCAATTGCCTTGCTGCAAAGCCAGGTAATTCATTCGTTTATTTCAACTATTTTGCTTGAAATTTACTTTGTCCGATATAAACTGTATGCTTTATTCGTAGCTAACTTTCGTCTGATCGCGGATATGTCTGTTGCGTTAAGTCCTGGCCATTTTGCAAAATTCTCAACTTTTTCCGATGATCTTCCGGAAGAGACGATATTTATGCGAAAAATCGCAATTTTAGGTACGTCGCGAAAGGATGAAACAGATATCGTGGAGAGTAAATTATACAAAAAGGTAGTGTCAGGAGTCAACAAAGGGAGGGAAAATTTGCTGGTTGGGGGTGGACACTCAGCCAGAGGTCAGATTACTTGTTTATTTATGATTTTTTTTTGATAATTGCTTTTATGTCTGTTGCACAAATTGTCGGAATAAAAGTTATCTTCTGGTAAATCGTAAGATGTTTTAATGAAGAGTAACGGAAGACATATTGAATTTAAAATAACTGGTTAGTTTTAGCAATCCTAATAAGAGCAAAAATGTAAATTCTTTTGTTTTGGTAATTATACCTTTGTTACAGTTGGGATGGTATTAGAGAAGGCAACACGCATACGGACAAAGTATGAACATGAGGAAAAACTAAAACAAGAGTACCGCAAAGTGGAAGGTATGCGACGTGAAATCGCTTCATCTTCGGTTAGCCTTTTTACTCGACTGTAGCTTTTAAAAAGTAATCAATCAAGATCTACGTTTCTTGTTTGTTTTATGGACAGAATGTATACATACAACCTCATACTAATATGTTGTATATATAACAGTTGTCATCACATTCGTCAGATTTTTTTTTAAAAAGTAAGATTTTCATTTAAAAGAAAAATCGGAGGACATTTCTAAAATCACATTTTAGAACCGAGAAAAATTACCAATAAATTATTTCCGATTTTAATAAATTTTTCCTTAGGAATTATATGACGTTCAGAGAATGAACGATATCATATATAAAGCGGAGATTTTAAGCTTTGAATCTGTTGAATTTTGGTAATGTTTTATCTGTATCTGGTTCACAGCTTTTTTTTCAGGAGCACAACATTCGTAAAAGGATTCTGGATTTACCGATTCCAAAAACGCCTGATCTTTTATCGCAGTTACTGAAACCTGATATGTCAATGCATAATAATTCAGTACGGCGGAGTGTGTCAGCGAAAAATATCAGTAACTGTTCAGAAGCATATCCAATGACAGTTGCTTCATCAAAAATTGCAGTGTCGTCAAAATCGACAACAGCTGTTTGCTGCTCTTTTTCCGGCTCAAGTGAATCAAAATCGCTACATCACAATGAATTATCCAGTATTGATTCTCCAAGCATCCAAGTGAAAAAGCCTCGACTAGATATGACAGCCATCGATGCTGTATTGCAAAGTTTGCATGGTTTGGATAAAGCTTCCTCCTCTTCTTAATCATTTTCTACAGCTTCTGTTTCTGGACTAGAACCGATATTGACATAAAATAAAAGATTTTGGATCCTTCTATTTATTAGTCCTTTGACATCTTTTTCTCCATTGGTTTTAGTAGGTATTTTCTGCTTGTTTATCGAGAAATTTGATTTGAAGTTGGCTAACTCAGTTTTTTTTCCTTATCTTTGGTTCCACGGTGTTAAGAAATGTTCTGGAATCAATGGATGTGTGACAGCATTAATTTGATATCATGGTTGGTAAGCGTGATATCCAGTATAAGCGTAAAATGCAATGCAGTAGTTTACATCGGCTGTCCCTTTTACTGATTTTTAGTTTATGATAAATTTCATTCGTGTTGAGTAACACAGAGGATTAATTTTGTTTACTTATACATATTATATTTGTGTATTGTTTTATATTATTCATATATTATTTTATATGTTTAGTTCTTTACCGTCTTATATATATTATATTAATTTATATTATATGCATAGTCTAGAATCTATTAAATTTGTTAAATCACAGCGCTCAGGGCTGTAGAAGATAGTTCTTTATTTTTCGAAAGACTTGAAAAATCACTGCATTTTCAATACTGCCCTTATCAGTCTTTCCAGCTAAAATATTATTTTTGAAAGTTATTGGCATGAATATTTCTTTCCATTGTATGTTATACAGATTATATTATTCATATTTCGGTTATTTGGTTTTTTCCTATTTCGTTCTGAATTATAGTTTCGCTTCAGTATTTCTTTGTGTCAATTATTTGTTTCAATTATGATTTTCATTGCTTCAAAGAATTGTGATATTCTCAAAAAATGGGTATCCTTCCTCATTCTTCTCATTCACTCTCATTTATTTATTTGCATAACTTACTGATGAATGTTTAAATATGTTTGTTTCATCGGAATAAAAATGCTTGGGAATTCCTTCCTGTTTTTGTTATTGTTTTTCCTGAAAAAACTTTTCAAAAATATTCGACTGATTTCTGCAAATGTATTTTTATGGATATGGAATTGTGAAATGAATATTTGACAAGATTATGCGGTCTATTCAAGAGAAATTTCTAAAGGTAAGATGGGAATATAGAGGTAATTAGTATAGGAGTGTAGAAGTAAGTTGATTGAATGTAAACGAAAGATGACTATGGGATAAATGAAGTTGAAGAGTAGTGATTCCATTTCTCTGTCGTCATTATCACGAAGAAATTGTTAAAACTGTGCTGATGTTATCAAGCGTCGTGTGTGTTACTTTCATCGATGCTTCTCATGGCTGGTGACAATTGGTTCGGTGACTTCTATCGCAGATAATCATTGATCGTCTGTGGAACAATCTACTTCAAAACATGGTCTATTTGAAGTATGTTTATTACGATCATTTAAAAAATCTGGCACTTATGATGTAACGCACCATAAGGATATTTCTGTTTAGCACTATGAAAGTTAAATGTAATTAGCATATATCATAGAAACTTCAAGCAAGCCAGAAAAAGAACGGACATTGGGGACGAAAATTGGCTGGTAAACTTTACTGCAGGAGAATGAGTCAATAAAAACCTTTCCGCTATCGCTGATAACAGTTTTTTCTTATTTATTTATATTTTTTAATGTGTGTTTCATTTAGTTGTTTTATCAGCGGAATACGCTATGCACCCGATGGGTAGATGAATCTCTGGTTAATGGATTTTAGATTAGTGATTCTTATTTCTTTTTTCAGGAACTTTGTAAAAGTTTTTGCTTCATTGCATTCCGGACGTTACCTTTGTACGATAGTACCAGAGGGAACAATACAAATGAATGATGAATTCAATATTATTTCCAAATCTTATGGTATACAAAGTACACCACCCGGTGTGCAACGTATTTTACTCATTCATCCACGGTTACGACGAGGACGTTTCTTTGATTTAAATCCTATGAAAGCTAAACTACAACTGGAAGAAGCAGTGGCATTGGTCAATACTTTGCCGAACTTCAAAGTTATGGAGTAAGTCTCCGTTCCAGTATTGTTTTTGGCAGCAGTAAATCTTAATGGGTTTCTTCTAAAAATGTTTAGATGTACTTAACAAATCTAAATATGGTGTATTCTTTTCTTTTTATTTTTTCAATTTGATTTATTGGATGAGTATTTCAAAATTATTCAGACATTGAACGCATCAGGTTGTTGGTTATGGGATTTTAAAATTGGCCCTAAGGTTAACAATTATTTAATTTTCTTTAGAGTAGGGCCATCAAGATAGTCTCGCAATTTATTAGCTGAGTGAATTGGATGGTCTGATTTATATTTGGATTTGTATCATTTCAGAACAACTGCAGTAAGCACTGATCGCTCTACTAGAAAGAAACGTCTTTGGGGCGAAGGACGCATTGAACGGATAATTGCTCTCAAAGAAAAAATCTCTGCCACGGCACTGATGATTGATGTTGATATTTTATCGCCAAGGCAACAGGTTTTTTTCCTCATTATCTCCAATCGCCTAGCAAAACATCATTTATCCTTTTCAATTATGTGAAGTACATTTTACGCAAGTATAATTAACTTACCAACAAGTGATTGAGGGCTTTTAAGTTTTTGAATTGAAATGAAAAATTGAAGTTTGGTGTTTTAGAAATTCAAATGAAATTTGAATAGATTAGAAGTTTCACGATATCATGAACAACATTTGATATTACTGGATTGTTTAGGCTGAATTAACAGCAGTTTTCGATGCTCCTGTATATGATCGTTACAATATAGTATTGCTCATTTTCAAAATGTTTGCTAAAACAAAAGAGGCTAAGCTGCAAATTCAACTTGCCGAAATTCCTTACATAAGGTTATTTTCTATATCAAATTTTATTTTTCATTGGCTTTCGAGGTTGCAATTATAATACTCTTCATTGTGATGTCATCTTTTATGTACTTTGCGACATATTTTTCTTTTCTTCTATAGGCGACGATTACTATCTATGTATGAATTACGTGTGAATCCATCTATTTTCCATCTCGACGCATCCGAAAAATCAAAGTTTGTTTTTTGAATTTAATCTTATAAATTTAAAAAAAGTATTAACTTTTATTTTTTTTCATTTTTTGAATTCGGAATGTTTTGGCAATTATTTTTCATTAAATTTTTCCTAATAATATTGATGTTAGTGTAGACCAGATCTTATCATTATGTATAACAAATAATTTTCAGTAAATGAGTTTTTAGAGCTGATAGATTAGAAGTTTTACGATATCGTGAGCAACATTTACGAAAATGCCTAAAAGCTGCAGTAGAAGAAAAAGTTAAATTGCGAGTTGGTGAAGCTCAGAAAAATATACGGACAGTAGTTGCTGTAGTAGGATATACAAATGCTGGCAAGAGTTCGTTGATTAAAAGGTTATTTGCAATTTGTCTTATTTCTGCTGAAAAAGGAAGGCGGATGAGTACAAAGTTACTTCCCGAAAGTAAATCTTAAAGATTTTGAACATTGGTTAAAAGTACAATAATTTTTTGCGTTATTCGCTGTTTGTATTCGTGTTCCTGATTTTATATCATTTTTCTCCGTTTAGGTTAACAGGACGCAATTTATATGTCGAAGATCGTTTATTCGCTACATTAGATACATCATTACATGTTTTTCGATTACCATCCGGTTCACCCATACTTTTTGCGGATACAATTGGATTTATATCGAATCTGCCTACCCAGTTACTGGCATCCTTTCAAGCTACACTAAATCATGTTGCGAATGCAGTTAGTTAGCTTTAAAAAATTCACTCGAACCTTTTCAAGATAGAGATATGCATTTTTTTTTTCACAGCATAAGCAATATATACTAAATTGATATGAGTTTTTTTTTCAGCAGCTAGATTAATTTAGCATGTTGAAAAAATAATTTCAGGACTTATTGTTACATGTAGAGGATATTTCGAATCCAGATTATCTTACGCAGCGCGATGTCGTAATGAAAACATTATCAGTATTAAAAATTAAGAATGAATTACTAAACTCAATGATTCGGGTTGGAAATAAAATTGATAAATTGAGCAGATTACCTCCTATTGAATCTAACACATATTTTGTCTCTTGTATTGATGGTCGTGGATTTGTAGAATTGACGGCTGCTGTCGATAAGGTATTCTTTTCTGACTGATAGATTTTACTTTATGTTTCTTGTGCTCAAGAAATTTTAAATAATTATATGGTCTCTATAACATTTTCTGTATTCCTGCAACTCTATTTCGATTTTTTCATCCTTAATACAATTTTAATATAATACAAGGAGAACCGTTGCTAGAAGTTTAATACAAAATGGATCTAACTTTTTCTTCCGAATTCAAATTTCCAATACAAAATATTGCAGAGAGTGATGGCAATAAGTGGTGTTACAGTTCGCCGATTGAAATTACGTCCTCATTCAGAAGCATTTTCATATTTGTGCAAGTATTCTTTTCTTGCTGGTCAACCGACTCCATCAGAAGATAATAATTATTTGCTATGCAATGTTATTATGAATGATAATGAATTCAGCAAATTCCGGGCCAATTTTCCGCTTTCAAAAACTTGATATTATTAATAAATTTATAAAAAAAAATTGCTCAATTGCATTTTAAAATTGAAGATCCGGACAAAAAAATTGGAGTTCGTTTTTCAATGCAGATAATTGCGGACAGAGAATTTCCTTGAAATTGCTTATAAAATTATGGAAAGCGAACAGAGCCAGAGGAAAATACTTTTGTGTTTACTTCCAATGATTCATTTGTCCTCAATAAAGGTGCCTGTACTCGGAGGTTATCATTTCGTTGAATAATTTTCCTCTTGAGTTGGCTTATTCTTAATTGTTCTAAAATTATATTATTTTAAGGCCTATTTGATTGTATATGGAAGGATATCCGACATTTTTTAAGCTCAACTAATGAAATAAGTGAGAGTGGGATTTCAAATTCTATTCTCATTTAATCAATCAATTATCTACAAATTTGTAAATCATTTGAAGTCCGGGTTTTCATGCTATTTAGTTTCTACTTATTCACTATTTCCGCAAGAGTCGTAAACTGATTATCGCATAATATGCCTTTTCTACTTCTGGTTTGTATGTCTTTTCTACTTCCTTTTCTACTTATGTTTATAATATGCCTTTTCTACTTCCGACATTTACTGCTTATGGAGAAAACTGTCGCACCTTGTATTGAATACACTTTCGTTGAGCACTTTATATTGAACACGCTTATGCTGAAAACCTTATATTGAAATTGAGCCATCACAGAGTATTACTTGTCATCATCATGGAAAGTCACACACAAATCAACCTTGTATTGAACATTAAGAAATTTCTAGTCATAATGTTAAGTTACTTGTTATATTTGTTTATCGGTATTTCAGTTATATAAATTACTTTTCACATTTCCTTTGTTTTGATACTAACCATAAATTATTTTTTCATATTTCTAGTATTTCTATAAGTTATTCTAATTAATGTTAATAATTTGTTACTCTTTAAAAAAAATGAGAAAATGAGCAAAATTATTTTGCATTATCTTCGAAATCCTATTCTATTCTATTCTATTCATTTGAAAGGAATGCAATTTATTCTTAAATATTTAAGTTTAATTGAATTATTATAGTTTGTTAGTTTGAAATTATTTCTTATTTATCTTTTTGTTTTTTGTGTTTTAAAAATATCTTTTCAGGAGATTCTCCGTGTGAACTGTGAAAGTTATTCATACTATGGTAAGTTCTTTTCTTCTAAAACAATTTTAAAGATTACTTTGAAAATTTGAAAGAATCATTTGCCTATGATTTATTGAATTATTGTAAAAGGCTTCACGAACTTTCCGAATTATATGTGTTTATTATTTCCTTTTAAGATTTAAATTTTAAATTTATTTAAGCTTTTTATTCCTTTGGTAATTTTCGAAATAAATTTGTTTCAAAAATTAAGAATTTTTACAGCCCATTATTTCACTACAATTGAAAGCCAATATGGTGAATGTAACCGCATTGGAACCAATGAATGATTGGACCGAATTTCGATGGCATTTAAAGGCTTCGTGACACTTTTTTTTATTTGCTATTCCAAAAAATAGTAGGTTAATCTCGTAGGTTGTAGTTTAATTTTTCTGTTTATGGTATGAAATTTTATCGTAGATTACAGATAAATGAATATTCGACACATCATTATGTAGAGTAGTAGAAAATTCAATCCTGACATTATGAATATGGAGAAATTTATAATCCTATGTTCTGCTTCAACTCATTTTCGCCATTTTTCGGCTTTCCCAAAATATAAATTTCAACCGGGTCAGAAGGAAAGATATATTCTTCTGTTAATTCAAGAAATCGTAATCATTTGTATATTTTACCATATTCAGAATATATCAAGAATAATTATACAAATTGCAGTTAAAATGTACGAACTGTGGTGAAGAACCGAAGCATTGGCAGTATGTTATTGCAAAAGTATGTTGTTCATTGTTTTAATATTGTGATTCTACTTATGAAATGCATAATAATCAATCCAAGATTTAAAAGAAGTCATGTAGAAGAAAAAAGGAATCAGGGGAGCGATTAGTACTACTACGAATTAGTGCATTCTTTTTTGTCACTTAGACTCAAAAATTATCCAGGAAAAATTTGGCATATCTGGAAGCAGAGGAGCTGCAAATTCAACTAGACTGAAAATTTTTCCAGGAAAAATTTAATATACCTGGAAGCAGAGGAGCTGCAAATATATTGGGAAAGTGTAAACTGTGTAGCAGGATAAATTCGCTTGGTAAGTAACTTCTGAAGGTAATTTGTTAAAATTTATCAGGAGCAAAATTTGAAAAGTACGCTATGCTGTATCTATATCGGTTCATACCTTCTTTTAAAATCACGTTTTAACTTTTCCAAGCATTTTTTAGCGTTAATATATACGAATGATGAATGCGATGAAAATGATTTATAAGTTGAGCTTGGTTTTTTCTATATATGAGTTATTTTATATTTTGTTATTTCTACAGAAATTGTAAAAGATTCATTTCAACCGTATAAGAACAATAATGACTATGGTGAACTGATTAGATTTGACTGCCGTGGCTTGGAACCAACCGATTTCGACCCGCGAGTTTGCTTTTTTTCTTTTTATTAATTTAATGTGAACTCTGAAATTCATATTTAAATGTTAGACAATAAGAGAAAGAAGTAAATAATTTATTTCCATCCAGTAGATCTTTTGAATCGGTTCCTCGGAACCTCACTGCTTGGCTGTACAGTATTTACTTATGTGATGTTTTTCCGATATTATTCATAATTTCAGTCAGGATGGCGAGCTATTGGAACAGAATCAGAAACTGTTTTCGAAAATATTGATCTTACTGAAAAGGTTTCCACATTTTTTAATTAGCAGGATCGACTCTCAAAAACACACTTTGTTTAAAAATAAACCTTAACTAACTGATGAAATTTTGACTTATCTTTATCATGTCCTGATGACTAGACTAATTTTTGCCTATGATCATGTCACAGATTGACTCATTTTCTCCTGCATTGATTTATTTAATACATTTCGTAGTGAACAAGTAAAATAATGACTGATAGCATTACAAACGGCTAGATTAAATGAATAATTTCACTGCAGAGTCTCAAATACCTATATATAATGTGTAATATAGTGCGTTGAGCTATCGATTAATGGTTATCATATTACTGTGGTTGTAAATGTAATTGTTATAAATTTGAATTAAGGAATGGGTCGATTACGATGAGAAAGCAGCACAACCAACGGAAATTAATGAAATGCACTATCGGTTTGTGCTTTTACGAAAACAATAAAGTGGTGTTCTTTTGTTTTTCCTGTCATCTTTTTATATCAATCCTTTTTGCTCTCTTATAATCTTTGATAATAATGTAATGTTAATAATTAACATAAAAATATTCACTTATCTATATATTAACTGCATTTACACCAATAACTTCTTTTTCCTCCAATTTTTTGTACGCATAAACTCGATATTACTACACATTAGATTAAGAAGCTATATTTTCTATTCGATAAAAAAAAACTTTAATCGGAAAATGTTGCTATAATGTAGAAATTTCTGAATGTGTCTTTCTTCTTTTCATCCGAATATTTTTGTATTTTAAAACACATACATTCTCATTAATTACCTCTATTGATTTCCAAACAATCACTCAATTCTTTTGTTTTTTCTTTTTCAAAAAATTCTAATAAAATAAAGAATTAATAATATTCAGCAAAATACACATTATATTGCTAAATTTGGAGGAATTTTTTTTGATAAGTTGGCAGGTAATTTATTATGCATTGATGAAATCTTCTTTTGACAGCAATTTTTCAATGATTTCTATGAAAAATGAATGAGCCTGTCAGTTTATTAAAATTTTCATATTTATTGCTAAGTAAATATTCATTTCTTCAATAATTTCCACACTAAAAGCATTGCAATTTTGATTGTTTATTAGCTGAAAGTATTAAATGAAAAAAGAATTTTTTGATTTAACATTTTCAGTATAATTTATTGGATCGAAAAGAGAAAGAATTTTTTCATCTTTTTTTTGCTTTTGAAATCTTTCGTTTTTTTTCTGAGTTATTTGAATTTCATAAAATTCAATCATTTTATAGGAAAATAAAGTTGAAAATATTTTAACAAATATCTTATCAATATTTGATATTTTTATCAAACATTTTTTTGAAATGGTAAATATTAGATATATATATATATATATATACGAAAGAGATGATTATAGGAGAAAGGAAATGGATTGAAATAGATTTAAAAATGATGAATGATTACTTCTTACTATTATTGATTTACCGATTGGAGATTATTTAATTATTAATAAGGGTAATGTTATAATGGGAGCTATATGTTTGGGGAAAACAGTATCCACGGATATTTTCGCTTCTCTTTCTTCCTATCACCGCCATCTATCCGATAAACAACGAAAAACATCACATGATTATCAATAATTTTATCCATTAATTTTAATCATGTAATTGAAATTAAACTACAAAAATTTTTATCTTTATAAAATTATACATAATTCCGGAGGTTTATTTTTTGAATTTTAATAAAGATAAAATTGAAAAGAAAAACAAAAAATGATAGTTCAAATAATATATAAGAATTAAATTAAACAGTATCATTCATCTATATCATCGCTATATTTAAGTTTACTACAAAAAATCTCCCTCTCCTCTCATTTTTCATTTATCCATTCATCATTATCATATACTGTTGTGTTATTGATTTGGGAAAGTATGGAAGAGGAGGATATTCTGTAATTACATCTAATTTTCAGTACCATCTAAATGTATGAGATCAAGTGATGATGTCAAGGCTGGTTAGATATGTTTGACATCATTTATCCATTCATTCATTCATTCATTCAGTCAGTCATTCATTCGTTCATTCATTTGTTCATTCGTTTTATTCTCACACCATTATCGTCCTATTTCTCAGATAACGGTACGAGAGTTTAAAGGAAAGAAAAGTTCAATTATTTAAATGAGCAACGAATATAGTTAATTGCCCATTTTTGTAACTTTTTATATATCTAAAATATATCAATTTGCTTAATTAATATATCAGTGAGGTGTCATTAATTTAGTATATCCGATAAATTATTAGTTTATTCAACATATTAAAATAAATATCAAAATAAACGAATCTTTAAGTGGTGATTTAAATGAATTATACTTCTCGGATATGGGTATACCACTATCTGAGAAGTGTAATTCATTAAAATCTTGAAAAAATTTTTCCCTTCTTAAAAAATTTCCCTTCATTAAAAAGGCAAATCTTCAAGTAGTAACGATATGTTTAATTAGTTTCTATTATTCAAAGATTATAACTATCTAATGATGTATTTATACATAATCTTGTTATCATATATCAACCGATATAATAAATGTAATTGATACAATCATCGAAAAAATTCTTTTCCTTCATTTACAGCATATATTTAAAACTTAGCTATTTGTTTGGTTTGAAAATATTTTTGCAGTGCAATTTCAATTTTGAAATGTATTATTAATTACCGAAATCAAACGACAATTGCTAAGAAGAAAAAAGAAAGGAAGTAAATAAATAAATGATTTATTCAACGGAAACAATACGTTCATTATAATATTGTATAAATATAAATATTATTACTAGAAAAATTTGCGATTTGCATAATTTCAAAATGAAATTAAAAAAATTTAATAGAACCATAATCAACAATATCCTTCCTTTCCCATTAAATAAGCAATATTAATTTAAATTAATTTTAAAGATTAATGATTATCGTTAAATTTCTTGAAGTTTGAAAAAATAGAGGGAAGAAAAATTAAATTTCAGAAAGATTTTAATAAATGTTCATCTTTTTCAACAAATGTTTATTCTGATTTGAAATATCTGGCAATATTTGCTGCGTATTTTTTCTGAATTATTTTACGCATTAATTTCATTAATTGTAAATTAATTTTTTTTTCAACGATTTGCGGTAAATTAAGATTATCCAAATATTCCATAGAGGAATGATGATTATAGCTTTGGTCACAAGAGGTCAAGTAAATTACATTCAGTGAAAATAATATGAAAAGATGAGAGCAGATGTTTATCTTCAACTACTAACTACATGCATTACTCCTATTACCATTTCAACAACTATCATCGATGTTACAATTTTTGCATCTTTTTTTCTTCTTTCGCTAATAGCAGAATTATTGGATATAATGTGGAATAATTATGTTATAACTCAAGATGAATTATATATAACAGTAATAGAAGTATTTCAGTTTATCAGTAATTGATTATTGATAATAATTAATGTATATACAATTGACTAGAGAATACTCAGCATTCACTAGATAGCGACATATATATTTTACATTTATTTATTGCTTAAAATGTATTACTGTAAATATGATAGTTGAAAAATTTTACGCAAAAAAAACATTTGTTTACAAATAATTGGTTGACACAAAGAAAACATTGAACTGAAGAAGTGAAGGAGCATGGATATATTATTTTGTATCTGATAAAAAACATAATTTCAAAAAGATAAAATTTGAAATTTTAACATAAGTATATCCTAAAATTATTGCCAATTATTATCCTGAATGAATATAATGTTCAGGATTGTTGAGAAGACGATGAAATAATACAGAATGAGATTGTTGTACAATTTGGTTTCTTTGAAAAATGAAACTTATTTGTTATGAGGAGGAAAAAATTGAAATAAAACAAAATGAAATGAAAGAGCTAATCGATGGATAAGAGATCAGAATTGTTAAGAATAAATAAGTATTAGATTGCATTATAAATAATCTAAGGAAAAATAAAATTAAACAAATGAGGTAGAGGAATGAAACAGAATTTAACATTAAAAAGATTAAACTTTTTGCAATAATAACAATATTCCAGTTGTATCATTGGTCCTACTTGTATAATTTTTTGTTGCAATTACCCGGAAATTCCGCAGATTCCTCGGTTATATGCAAATTTTACGATGTTTCGTTTTAGGTTTTAATTTTGATGGAAAATTATGTTGCAATAAATTTAAGAGATGATTTTGAGTGTGACTAGAATTAACGGAGAGAATGGCTGAGCAATTTGCGGAATGTAATTTGAAGGCTTTTTTTGTATCAAATGTTGCGGAGCACGTCTTACATATGAAATTATTTAAGGAGGCGGAAACGGAAGATGATGACGATAATGATGCAGTAGCTATCCGATCATTTCCGCGTGGTTTATGCCAACGGCGATGTGATGCTAAATTTGCCGGACAGCTAAATACCTGAAATGAAAAAAATTTTGGAAAATAACTTCTGTATTACTGAGAGGAAGAGAGAGAGTGTGTGTGTCTTTGGCAATATAAGTATAATTAATTACACCTTACAATTTATGTGTACAGTCAAGTTATGCCAAGTTAATTGATTTAAATTAAACTTTTTCTAAATCATTCTTATATTCAAATTACTTTAAGCTGTATGAACTTAATCTTCTTTAACAATTATATATCATTTATCTTACATCCAATTTTTTTCTATCAATAAATATGTTTTTTTAATAAAAAGAACCACTAATTCATATGAAATATTTTTAATTTTTATCAAATTTATCGCAAAATTTTAAATGAATGATAATTTTGATTAGAATTTAAAAACAATTAAAATTAAAGAAAAAACAAAAAGATAAATTATTAATCAAATAAAAAAATACATCAAAATTCCGAAGTAAAATTTAGAAGAAATGAGGATGATGAATCAATGATGTAAACTTTAAATTAATCGGTATGATTGATGATTGTTTATAGATATCAAATTTATAATACCATTGCTAACATTTACATATGTACATTTAGAATTTGCCTGATTAAAGTATGGTATAACTTCGTATTCATCAAAGGTTTATTAGGCAATGGGTGGTAATGATTGAAGTGGTAATGGTACTTCAAAAATTAAAAGAAAAATATAAGTGGAGTAGAAAAACAGGAAGAAAAAAACAATATCAGCGGGTGGTAAGGTCACGAAGTATTACTTTGTGACGTATCCTTCTTCAAAATTCACTCATTCAATGTATTATTTTCATAAGCATCAAAAAGACATTTATCGTTAATTTCAGTTTGCAGTTGCTTACCGAAAAATGTGTCTCCCTTGAACGATCTCGATAGACAGGACAACAACCCGCTTATACCATCCATTCCCGTATGCACCTGCCACTTAATTATGGATTTTGGATGTGATGAAGAAGGAAGGAAATGATCGGTCGATTTAGATGCTAGACGATTGTTAGTCATATAGTTTGAGGAGGACAGGACGTATTTGGCTATATTATTAGTTAACTATGCCTAACAAAAAAAGAGAAGGAAAAAACAAATGATTTATTTGACTTTGAAAAGGAGGAATTTTTAGTGTTACCAATTTCATTGTATAAATTATAATTTTAAATAATTCTTTTTTCTTTTTAAAGTTTATTTTAAGTTCATATAAATAACAAAAGAAAAATTCAATCAATAAAATTTCAAATAAAGAAAAAGTTAGAAAATCAAACAAAAAAAGAATAAACTTTTATATATAATTTAAACGAATAAAAAGTTCAGTAATTCTTACGAAATATTATCAAACATAATCCGATAAACTGAATAGTTTTATGAAATTAAAAATACTTCATCTTATTTAGAATGCAATTATAATATGATCAATAATATAAATCTGATAAGAATGTAAATAAGAAAATTGATAACCTTATCACATTCTGGGCAACGATATTCCTCATGTATGATACGTGGACATCGATGTTGTGCCAACCGAAATACATCATCATATCGAACCTAATAAATTTTAAAATTAATTAATTAATTATTGTTTTAACTTAGTATACTTGAGAAGTTTAAAAAAAATAAAACAAATACAGTTAGATTTTTATATTTTTATTGGAGCAAAATGTTTAAAAATAATAATTTGAATAATTCCTTATTTAAATAAATTCTAAAACATTCGTATAAATTTTAAAGTATAAAAATTCGATGTAAGGAAAGAAGGAAAAGAAAAACTATTTAAAATGCATTACTAAAAATACATTTTAATTAAATACGTGCAAGAGATGGTAATTGAATAATGAATTAATTAATAATTAATGAATTATTTTAATTAAATCTAAAATACTTATTAAATAAATACTTTGCATAAGGCACATATGCAATCACCAATTACATTCGTAATTTGTTCAATTTTACGTCGACTTTCCTCGGAAACGTTAACAAAAACAGCGGTCTCATCCAAATCCGCAGCTGCTTGTAACTCATCGGCTGGCGGTAAAGATGACGCCTCCTATAGTTTGAACTTTGTTTCACTTTTCTTTTTCAAAATTTTATTTAAAAAATTAACAAATTTTTTTGAAAGAATTAAATTTATATTTCTTTTACAAATTTTGAAAATAAAAGAAAGCATTGAATAATAGTAATTAATTTTTTAAAATCCATAATTTCTCTTTTTAGTACAATAATTCTTTATACTTTCTTTCTACTTATATTTTTTTATATTTTTCACAAATAATATACTTTCTAGCTCATTGCATTAATCTTTTCAAATATGATAATCCTATACTATATCACTTCATTATAAGTAACTCGAATTAATTAGCTTTAATTAATTAACTGTTTTTGTTTATCCGATTTAATACTTTAATATTATATTATGCATTAATTAATAACATACTTTGATAAACATTCCCGAAACAGGTGAACTTGTTTCTGAATCATCCGCTAAACGTCGTATTACTTTAGATCGCTTCGATGGTAAATCATCAGAACAACGTGATGCAAGTCGTTTCCGTTCACGTATTGGTATTACACAATTATTTGTTGATGTTTCAACTGTTGGTGTCACCTATTTTCTCATTCATTTTTATTTCAATTACATTTCATATTATACCAAATGTTTGATATTTTCTAGTCAGACAATTTTTGAAATACACATTGTAAAATCACAACACATTCTTCTTATTCTTCGAAGTAACAAAAATTATTTGAAATAAAAACAAATTCGCCAATTATTAGCTCTCACAAACTAAATTAGTACTTGGAGAGCAAAAATATGAACGATGTACTTATTTGCATTCATTCATTACTGAAGTGTTCGTAAACTTCATCATTTTAACCTCTCTTTGAAATAATGTTTTGGTAAATATTCTGGAAGAAATGAAAGGAAGCTTTTTTTTCAAATTTCAATAACTTCGTTGATTTATTTAAGTTTTTAAAATGGAACGCTTCTTTTGTTCAACTAAAAAAATACGTTAGGCAGAAGGCTTGGAGCTTCAAACTATTTGAACTTTAACTTGAATTATTTAAACTATAACTTAGCAAAGATTGTGAATTTCGATATTATTAAATAAAATTATAAAATCGCACATGATTTATTAGACGTTCAGAGTGAAAAGAATTCAAAATGCCATTTATAATGCTGTTCTCTTCACCACTGATCTGATCATTCATTATTATTTTATCGTACCTTATTCAAACTACTATTCATAGCTAGTCCAATTGTAGCCATTTGATTCAGGAATGAATTTAATAAGCCCGGTTGGCAAAACATTTGTAGTTGCATTAGTTGTAACGTTGTGGCATAATCCATCATTGGGCTTGTAAGACCATTGGCGGTAGAATGAAGATTCTGTAATCCTGTTGGTGCCTTTGGTGTTGTTATTGCTGATGCATTCTGCTCATTTGTAGCAACTGAACGTGCTTCTGATGATGGCCCAAGGCCCAAAATACGTTGCACCAGAAAATCACTCATAGACATTTTGTCAGAATTTTGCAATTTTTACAGCAGATATTTCGAATATAAATATTTCCGGTTCCGATAATTTAAAAGCATAATTGCAATACCATCCAATGAATTCCAACTCCTGCAAAAATTATGATAAACGAAATTTTACTTATGATAGATAAAATTTGATAAAGCACAATAGTGGGATCAATTAAATCCGTTGAACTGTTTACGATATAGTTGAATAGAAACAAACGAAGTAAAATTTAGGAAAGTAGCATAAGTATGCAAAGTATCCGCCATTTATCACTCCATCGACAGAAGAAAAGGAAATGAGCGAATAGTTATACTTCAAAATAGTTGGAAATATATGAACTTAGACCATAGGATAGCAGAAAAAATTTTCAAAAAAATTTAAATTTTAATAAGGAAAATATTTTGATATGCTTAATAAATAGCATTCTGATAAAAAAGAAAGCATAAAACCTGAAAATATTACGACGAAACAAAATAATCTTAAAAAATAAATAATATTCAAAAATTTATTGATCAATCGATAACGTTTATACTTTTAGCTATTAGATATCAAAAATTTTTTGCTTAATATAAATGAAATTTTTCCACGGTATTATCAAAATATTTAAATAAAATTTCTTAGAATTATCTAAAAGTCTCATTAAATTATAACTTATCATTTATAGTTAAGTGTAAATATTCCGCTAAGATTGCCCCCACCGTATTCCGCCACCCTTTTCCATTAGTAATTTCAGTGACAGTTTGTTGGGAAATATTATTTGCTCCACCCAGTCGATTCGATCCATCCAACAAGATTAACCCATCTTATTTTTCACTTCCATCCCATATGCCTCATCCAATCATTATTCAAATGATTTACTTGAAGGCGGTTCAAAATTTTCATCCAAATCTCATAGAAATTAATTATCAAAGAGAGGGAAAACAATTTTTTTAATTTTTAGTTTCTTTTTTCATGCATAATAATTATGCTAATCCTTTTGAACTGTAAAAATTAAAATTTAAATTTAAAGCAAAAAAAAGAAGATCAAAGGATTTTAAAAATCCGTTCAAAATTTTTCAATACCATCTGGATAGATTCGTTTAAAAACCGTCTGTTTCATTGTTGAAGCAAATTTCAAAAAAGCAAGAACTGGATTAAACATTGTTCAATCATATCCAAATATAAAATTTAATTTAAAATGTGAATTTTTAAATTTATTAATTTGAAATTTAATTTAGCTTTGCAAAAAGAAAGACATCAAAAGGTGTAAAAATACAATAAACTTCTAAAATTTTAAATTTAGACATTAAAAAAATTTTTTTTTTTTAAATTCTTTCACATTTATTCATATCATCGAATACTATTATACACAATTTATTTCCTAAACATACGGATATCTTAATCAAATTCATTCTTCTTCCTTGCAAATCAATCGTTCTTCCTCTCTGTTGTAGCATTAAATAATGTGATAAAGATGAAAGAGATAAAAGGTTAAAATATCGATCAAATTTAGTCAGATTTCCTTATTTGACCTTTAGGATCAAAAAGTAATCAGTGCAGTATTGTGCTACATTGTTGTTATCCGAAAGATTAGACCATATTGCGCGAAAGCGTAAAATATCATTGTTATTGAAATCTATTTCCTTTTCAATAACTAATTTTCTTCCATATGTTCCTCTACTGAATGAAGTAGTCCAATGGCATTTTTGTTGTATGAAATAAGTGAATGAGGACAACTGAAGATTTATGAGCAATCTGTTCTGGCCGGTTAATGTTGTCCATATCGTGCCATATGATATTGCTTTCTATTCAATTGTTAAAAACTCTCATACATTGTTATCCATGCATAACTCTACTTTTGTCATTTCATTTCATAATATTTATCTCGAAATTACTAAGAAAAAAAGACTAAAATTTAAACAACTATGAGCAAATACAACAATGGTGTTGATTTGATGATAATGATGATGATGAAAAAAAAAAATCATGATTAGCATATTACTATCATCATTATTATGGTTATCGTTTTCATCACCATCACCATTATCAACAGTATGCCATTATCATCAATGTCATTGGCATATCACCATCATCAAAACGACAATAATATGCCATCATTATTCTTATCATCAGCATATCTTCATCGCCGTCATCATTAGTATATCATCAATATACAATTATCATAACTGCAATTTTTGTTGCATCGTAATAAGCTAAAATTAAATCTCTGGTAAAAAAAAAAGTTTCCCTAGGAGATTTCATGCGAATATTTTATTTATAAAAGTGGGTGAACGAGCAATTGTTAAAATGATACGGTAATGATCTGTACAAATTACCGTTTTTTATCTTTCTCATTCTTAATTAATGACCTCTCATTAGAAAGTGTGTGAATGATCCAGGAGATCATTACGCAAGCGATCATCATTATTATCTTCTCCTTTCCTCATATCTTATCCTTTTTTTCGTCACCGAACAGCTGCGACATTTCTCTCACAAATTATCCAGCCACTAATGAATTATTCCATACATCTTTGTTTTTTCCCCTCTCTCTCTCTCTTTCTTTCTTTCTTTGCTTTTTAAAAACGTTTAAAATTCGAGTATTGTAATGAAAAGGAAAGAAACAGTTTTTCATGAGCACCTTACATTTTGGCAAAGGCTTGTGCTCCCCGGCCGGGAATCGAACCCGGGTCTCGCACGTGACAGGCGCGGATACTCACCACTATACTACCGAGGACCTGTTGTTACGAATTCAATGTATAAAAATATAATATAAAATTGAATTAACACATTACCGAATTTTTATTAGGATTGAAAAATTTGGTATTGAAATTTATCTGTCCAACCTTATCCTTCCAATCGCAGTTGAAAATGGCCGAATTATTATTATCATAAAGGTAATAATCATATAGGAATATTACATCAGCTGATATCAGCTGATACAAAACGTATCACTTCCCCAGCTGTCCAATCTTGTACGTGACAGGTAAGGATACTCACCGTTACATATCGAGGATTACGTGCAATTTTGATTTATAATGGAATACCGAAATTTCTATTTAAGTTGTAAATTTCAATATTAAAATGTTGAATTAATCAGTAAATGAATTTTCGGTCGGTAATATTTTGATGGGAAGTAAAAAAGCTTAACAGTGAAGTATGGTCTATCTGTCTGATTCTATCTCATTCCATATATTAATCATTATTTGAAAAATATCTGATTTAACCTAAAATAATCTAATCAATATCATTATTATTCATTTGCATGATAACGATAACCATTGCTGTCACTATTATATGGAATAATCTATCGTTAAGAGGTAAAATATATAATAAATAGTTATAAAGTTTAAATTAAAGTTTAGCCTTTCAATTAGAATAATTAAATTCTTATAAAATATATTTTGTTGTTATAAGATATCATTGGAAAATGTATCGATGCATTTTGTGTGGTGATTTGGTATGGAACGGCAGATGGCCCACTCGTAATGGTAGTAGTATTGATAATAGGAGGAGTGAGACATTAAGGCAGGTGGACCAATGGAAGGGGAAAAAAGGTCACCCGAGGTCGACAATCATTTCTCAATATCTATCCTATCCTTACCCACAATTACAATGGACCCACTCTAATTAGCATGAATGCATTACGTTTTTCACTGATTACTTAAAACTTATTTATGGCTAAACATTGTTGTATTTCTTCTCCTTTCATCACCTTCATTGTGGAATTTTTTAATTTAAAGGAATAATTATTTAATCAATTGCTTAATTCGTCTAATCATTCAGAAAAACAAAAACAAAACAAAACTGAAATAATTAAAACCTAATATTTATATATTAGAATATTGTATTCATTCATTACTGATAGTAAAATAATGGAAAATTATCATATCATATGAAATTAATCTTTCGTTTCTTTTGTTTTTTTTTCTCTTCCAATGATTAATTATAATTTGGATGAAATTGTAAGATAAATGAAATTACGATAAAAAAAAAGAATACCAAAATTAGCTCAACAAATTCGCATTAATTGGAAAAATTAGCCAGAAAGATCTATCTATCTCTACGCGTATCACATCAATTCTACATTTTACAAATGAAATAAGAGTAGAAAGAACAGATGTTGTTGCCCCTAGCAATGCATGCCATACAGCTCCAAATCGCATAATTGTCAAGCCAAGCTGCCATTGCTTCATTGCTATTAACTGACAACAATCAACCGTTCCACCACAACATTTTCGTGATGGCAATTTGGCGATAATTAAAAATAACCAAGTAAATTTGGAAACCTTTAGTGATATTTCAAATTACGTAATAGTAAATAATATACTTATCATTATTAATGTATCATTATAATAATGATAATTATATACTATGAATTTAGTTAATTAGTTTCAACCATAACAATATGCAAAAAATTATCTACAGTTTTTTTATATACATACCATTATAAAAATAACGATCATATATTAATGATAAACTTAATTCGTTTAGTTAAATATATGAATAAAAATATGGCATGGTTATTTCATATGTATTTGCTATAAAAATAATGATTATATAATTGAAATGAATTATATATATATATGCAGATATTGTATGACATTTGATGACTTTTAATAAATTATTCTGTTTAAAAAATAATTTCAATAAAATACCTTTTATTGATGGAGCAATGAAATTAGTAAAAATTGAAAGGCATAAGAGTTTTAATGGTTTTGATCAAAGCAATTTATATTATTGGTTGCATGAGACAGAGCAGATGTGTCTCGAGAGGACAGTCATTACCAGCTGCTTCTGGTCACTTCTGATGAGCAAGACAAACCAATCCAAACTGTATTTATCATGAATTAGTAAATATCTCACAACTTATATTTTTACAACAAAAAAGAATGACAAGGAAATCATTTGTAATAAACAAATAATACTCGTAATTATTTTGAAACAGCTGCAATAGAAATATTAAAATTTTATATAATAGATTTATCGTTTTTTCTCTCAGAATTTAAACAAAATTTTT